TTTTACAGTTTTTATTGAAATTCAGTTCACTATATAATTGTGGGTTTATTTTTGGAACCTCTATTATTTTTACTGATATATTTGTTTATGCTTATTCCTGTCTGACTACTGTGGCTTTATAGTTTTCTGGAAATTATATTGTGCCAATCTTCTAAGTTTGTCTTTTTGTTTTTTTTTTCCCCTAAGATTGTTTTGGCTGTCCTAGACCCCTTGTGTTCATGTACTGTGTTAGTCAGCTTTCTGCATCTGTGACAGAATATCTGAGAAAACAATTTAAGTGAGAGAAGATCTGTTTCGGCTCATGGTTTCAGTGATTTCAGTCCATGATCTGCTGGCTCCAGTGTTTTGATGCGTGGTGAGGCGGTACATCTGGTCAAAAGGGCATGCAGAGCAAAGCTGTTTATCTCAGATGGCATCAAGAGGGAGGGAGGCAGAGAGGAGAAGGGGAAGAGGGGACTATGGTCCTGAAGGGTGTGCCCCACAACCCGTTGTGTTCAACTAGCCTCTCCTAGTAGTCTGCCAGGGATGAATTTATCAAAGATTAATCCAGGGGTGAGGTTAGCACCCTCAGGATCCAGTTACTTCTCCAAAAACCCATCTGCTAGCGACCACGAGTGTGCCTTTTTGAGGAGGGTTTGGATCTCAACCATGACACACAGATTTACAATCATTAGCTTGTTAGTTCTACCAGAAAAAAAAAAAGAACTGCTTGGATTTTAGCAGGAGTAGTAATGAATCTATAGGTAAGTTTTGGGAAAACATTTTTAACAATATTGAGTTTTCTATTCCATAAAGATAGTTTATTGTCCACTTACCTAGGACCTTTTACTTTGTCTTAATGGCATTTTATAGTTTTCAAAGTAGAGGTTTTACACATCTTCATTAAATTTATTCCTATATTTTTGGCCATTTTAAGTTGTTTATTGTTTTAAAATTTTACTTCCTGTTATTTGTCATAAGTATATAGAAATGGAATGATTTTTGAATATTGACCTTGTATTCTGACACAATTTGCCAAGTAGTTCTAATGGATTCTTTAGCAGACATTTTAATATTTCTTATTTAGACAATTGTATCTTTGTTTTCTTAAGTGTCTTTTACTTTTTCCTGTTACCTTGACTGAGATTTGTACAAGATGCATAGAATGGCGAGAGCAGACAGCCTTTCTATTTTTGCATTCTTAGGGACAAAAGCACTTAATCTTTCATCATTAAATATCATGTCAAGCATAGTTTTTCTCAGAGTATCTTTATCAGGTTGAAGAGGTTTTTTTTTTGTGGTAGTGGTTTTGTTTATTTGTTTTTCTTTCTTTTTTACTTTTTTTTGGGCATAGGGTTTCACTTTATAGTTCTGGCTGGCCTTGAACTCACTCTGTAACCCAGACTGGCCTCAAACTCATGTCTGTCCACCTACCTCAGCCTCCCAAGAGCTGGGATTACAGACTTGTACTACCATGTTTTCTTTCTGTAGTACTGCTATCTTAAATTTTGCTGGATACTTTAAATTGCCAATTAAATGTTGCATAATGAAATGAAGTTAAGAATATAAACTTGTTTTTTTGTCTTTAGAGATCATTAAATAAGTAGATTGTGTTGTGTATAATTTTAGATGGTTTGTTTTCTAGCTCCTAGACCAGGTAAATTTAATATTATAATTTGATAATACACTTAACATGCATGGTTACTGCATTTTTATAGCATTTGGTATCCTTAACAATAATTTTTTGCCAAGTATGATTTTCAAAACACCAGGTCAAATATTCATATTGACTTGGGTTTAGATGGAGGTATAGATGACCAATATTGCCCTTAACTTGGATATAGTAAGAGATTAATTTTTGGCCATAGATTTTGAACCTTTTTTCTTGTGAATCTAGTATATTGTACAAGGGACTGCAAATAACTTTTTCCTGAGCTTCAAAAAAACTGTTTTTTCTGAGCTTCAGAAAAACTGTTTTTTCTGTCCTCATATAGATTATAGTCTACATTTTTATATACCTTACATTAAAAATGTTAAACACTTGTTCATTGAACTTTTATTCTGTGCCTAGTACTGTAGTATAGGCACTTGAGAGCTAATGGCAAACAAAGCAGGTGTTTCCTTCTCTTATGGGGCTTGCAATCTAGTCCAGATAAAACTGAATAAAATAAATTATAAACTGTGATAAGTGTGGGATCTTGTCTCATAGAGTGTAAGAACTCAGGGAATTTCCCCAGAGAAAATATTATTTGGACTGAGGCCAAAAGATTGCATCTGAATTAAAGAAGTGTGATAGCATAGTAAGAAGCAGGTGTAGGCATCCTGAAGTAGCAAGAACATAGCAACTTTATGCAGGAGTGGGGGTGAGGGAGATGGGCTGGGAGAGGCAAAGGCAGTTTGGGGAATACTAAATAAAGCGAAAGAGAAATGAGATTGGACGGATACATGAAGACCAGATTTTATAGGATGTTTTAGGACTTTATACTAAGTGCAGTATAAAGCCTCTGAAATGTTCTAAACAGGGAAGTGACATGATCTGGTTTGCATTTTGGAGGGAGCATACTGTCTGTTTTGTGGAAATGGATTGAAAAGAAGCCATAAACAGCTCAGAGAGACCAGATTGGAAATCACTTCAGCTGTCCAAGCACAAGATCATTCTAGCTTGTGTAGGATGACAGTGGAGAGGGAGAAAAGTTAGAGAGGGGAGGGATAGTTGAGGAAATCGATGTAGCTTGAATACATGCACCTTTTGGTACCTTTTAAAATGTCTTAAAAGTAAAAGTTTACTTTAGCCTCTATGTGTTTACTTGTTATAATATTTTGTTGCTTGTAAATAAAAAAATCAGATGCTTGTGATATGTCATCTAGTAAAGTTATGTACTTTTAGCTGTTAGAAGTAGTTGTGAAGTATTCCCAAATAATGATTCCTCATAGATATTTCCTGACTAGCATTCATCAGTTGAAAGGGCACAGAAGTACTTGGTAATGATTATAAAAAGAATGGCAATAATAAAATACCTAATGACCCTTAAAATGAAAAGGATGATGCCTAATGTGAAAACAAAGAATGCTGCATGTAATGAGCTATGTAAATATATGATATTAATGTTCTCTTATTATTAGAGCTTCACATTATAAATTTGTTCTCCTTGTAATCATATAAAAAAAGGATAGAAAAGAACAAAAGTCAGGGGCTAGTACAGTCACTTTCTAGGAAGAAGAAAATTACCTTGTTAGGACTACTGAAGCTTTTTTCTTTTAAGTTAGAGGAAAGAAAAAGGATTCATAGGTCAAGGACACTGCTTTTTAAACTGTCTCATGTTCATATGTCTTTGGAAGCATGTGCAATTGTGGATTATATACAGTATTTTTAGATTCAAACACTGTCAGTGATATTCTTTGGAAATAAATGTGTCAAAACAGCAATATAGTGTTTTAATTCTTCAAATGATTTTTTTTCTGTTCCCTTAATTTTAGAAATATTACAATTCAAAACTATTTTGAAATGTGTAAGTCTCTACTTTTAAAATGATATGTTTAATTTTTGGTGACTTGAGTTAGCTTTAGTAACTGATAGATTTAATTTTAGAATTACTTTGTAGTCATGCTTTTAGGTATCTCTTAAAGTCAGAATGCTTCCCTGTAAAGCAGGACTTTCTAGTTCTTTTGTATTAACTTTAAATATCTACTTTCAAACCTAGAGTATTAATTATAAAATTTTTGTTTTAATTGGTCTTATAAATATTTCTGGTAATGAGAAGTGTGCTTATCATTCTGTAGTTTACCTAAACCTCCAAAGATTTTGGCAATAACATAGTCTTCTGAAAGGTGGTTACGCATGTAGGAAAGAATGGGGCTTTCTGATTTTTTGATATTATTTTTATGAAATTTGAAGTACTTTTTCTAAGACATTTCCTACCTGGCAGGCATCAGCAGGAAAGAGAAAATGGGGCTTATTGAAATGGAGTTAAGAATGACAATTCTGACCAGTTTCACAACTCTGTAATTGTAGGTGATCTATACTGACCTTGTCTCGTGCCCACTTGCTTCATTTGGCAAATGACAATCATGGTACTCACTTCATAAAGATTTAACACTTTTATAGAGAAAATATGCACATAACACCATGTTTGACACACAGAATGCTCTGAAAAAACATTAGTTATCTTCCATTTTCACTTAATTTTCCTGATTTAATTATGAAATAAATTTTAAATTAGTTCGTCAGTTTTTTAAAAAAATGCTGACATGAGAAATATGTTTAGAATAGGTAAGTGGTTGTCTATAATAAATAAAAAAATGAATGTTTTTAGTGTTCATCAAATATTTGAGTAAATATGTAATTTCTGTCGTATAACTTGGATATGTGTAGCTCAAGCATTGTACAACAAATTTTTTGATCCTTTGATCCTTTCCACATATTAGAATAAAAAGTGCACTAAACAGTGTTTCTATTTATTCTGATGTGTATATTCATCGCAGATCATGTTTGACCCTAAATATTCCTCTGCAGAAATTTTAACATACTAGTGTTAGGTCTAGTGCTTTGTTTGTACAGTTAAATATCTTAAACTCATCAGTGTTACTGTGTGGGTGTGGCTGGTGTTCGATAGATGAGTAAATGGCTTTTCACTTCTAATCAAAATATAGCTATGTATTACATAGAAAAATAGTAGTCATAGCACTTCAGGTCATGAAGACTTGGCTGATTTTTAATAATTAATAAGTTTTTTCTGCCAATGAGCATTAGGTTACTGCTGACTTTTTAGTGTCACAGTACCTTGTGGTAGTTTTTCCACAGAGTTTAAAGGTGTATTCCAGTTTTTTTTCCCTGTACTGTTCACAGGATATAATTTGTTCAAAAAATATAGGGAAAATTCCTTTAGAAGTTCCTAAATGCTATTAGCATATTATAAGGATTGGTCAGTTCCATTGTCTCCTTTTGTCAGTCTTCATCGGAGCTTGCTGAGAAGTCTATAAGCCTGCATGTGCCTGGCAACTGTTACCTAGTGACAGTTTCAGCTGCAGTAGCCATTGGCTGTGTTGTTGATTGGGGCAGGAGGACCGAGTCACCTTTCTGATGGTGAGTTCTGCATCAGCTCAGGATGAGGAGGGAGGAGCAGGGCTTGGGCTCAGGTGGAAGCAGGCAGTGATACTGAGAGACTGTGAAGAATCTACCGACAGCATCCTGGTAACTGCATCACAGTAAATCGGACTTCTGAATCAAGCAGCTTAGCCTAGCAGCTGATAAGAGTGAATGTAGGTGAGAAGCATTACCTTATTCCTGAACAAGAGAACTATTTTGTGATAAATGAAACTAAGAATGTAAAAGGAGGAATATCCTGTGGCTATCACAGAAGAAGGATTTCCCTGAATGATGTGGCGGTGCACCAGAAAATAACTTTGTGAAGAATGCTTTCTATTAAGCTGCTGCATTGTTCCTGAAGGAAAATGTTTTTATTTCTAGTGTATGCACTTTCTTCAAAAGCTTTGACAACAAGAAGTGACAAGAGACTTTGAAATGCCTGTACTTTAAGGGAAAAAAAGACTTTGGCAAATGTTAACCTGATACAAGAATGACCTTGGAAGCCTTTTGGATGGATTTTATCCTGCCAGCCTTTCAGTATTTCAAAGTCGAGGATTTAAACTCATCTTGATGTTTTGAGGTATTTTAAAGCAAGTCTATCTCAGAACCTACCTAATGGCCCTGGTATTAATTGAGCACTTGGTCAAAATAGAATACAGAAATAGAAGAGGCAATTTCTTAACATATGGCTACATAATTCCAAATATAAGAAATAAGGTAATTTTCCACTTTCAGAAGATTTAGTTGAAGAAATGATTTAATGTGTTAATAATCTAATGGAAATAGAAAGGTATAGTAGTATGTGAAACCTATTAGAAATAAGTAAGAAGTAATGTAGTATTTGTAGTCAAATAAGCTCAATGTATGGGAAAGTTTCTGTTGTCTAAGTTTCATCTATATTTGCGTATATGTGGGATGTGGGGGTAAGGTTATAAAGAAGAGAATTAACTTTAAGAAAATTTACTGTAATGCTCATTATCAGGAAAGCAGCATATAAAATAATGAAAGTTATTTTCACTTGTAGATGCTGAAGTTAATGGCTACAAAGATTTCATTTTGAAAGAGAAGAGGTATAAATTACATTGCTGGAACTAGCACCCCAAACTGTACTTGACTAAACCTGTTTTCCTCAAAAATGCTCTAAAAATGCCTGCAGAGTTAAAACTTCAGGAGTTTATCCTGTTGTTTTCAGGGGTTAATCTATTAACTCACTGTGTGTTACCTTCCCTACTAGAAATATACCTTTTTTTCTTGTGAGAGTTACAGGGCAATCTGGAGTCTGTTATCCATATTCTACTCCTTTGTGCCCATGTAAAGCTGAGTCTTGGAATTAACTACAATAGAATTTTTCTTACCTTTAAAAAAATGAGAGAGAAATGGATCACAAAGTTGCCCTATCAGCATCAAACCTGAACTGAGCCAAGGACACTCTTTGCCACAATGAACTTTCTCTTAGCTTTCCAACCAAATCGAGGTCTTAATTATTTAAATTCTAAAATTTGAATGCATTTTTCCTCATAGATGAAGCAGGAAGTCTGAGACAATTTAAGACTTTCTTTTCTCTTTTTTTTTCTAGTTGATCCCTAAGAAACTACCTCTCTTAGGAGAGAAAAACATCCTACACACAGAAGCTTTCCTTCTCTTGGCAGTTGTTTTTTCTTTTTACAGATTTAATTTTTTATAGCACAAGGTAATAAATCTACAGTATTTTCTTTAGAAGTCCCTTGTGTCTGCAAAAAGTTACTTGCGAGCACCTGAGGAAGCTAATCAGAGACCTCTTTTCACCTTTCTAGCTTACCCTCCTTCTCTTATCCCCCAAAGCTGAGATGTGTCAGTGGTGAACTAAGGCTGATGAAGAGACCTGAGCACTCTGGGACGCTCAGCTATAACAGAAGCACTGACACTGTCTGCCGAAGCAGGTTCTGAGGCACTTGTGTGCAGAGTTTAACAGATGCTGGAAAGGGCACCTACTTTCTGGAGCCAAGACTGCAAGTTCCTCTAATTCTAAGCCATGAATGAATCCACATGGACTGAATGGAAGATCCTGAACATGACCAGTGACATTGTGAATGTGTCTGAGCGTCACTCTTGCCCACTTGGATTTGGTCACTACAGTGCAGTGGATGTCTGCATCCTTGAGACAGTTGTTATTGTCTTGTTGACATTCCTAATCATTGCTGGGAATTTAACGGTCATCTTTGTCTTTCATTGTGCTCCACTGTTGCATCATTATACTACCAGCTATTTTATACAGACGATGGCATATGCTGATCTCTTCGTTGGAATTAGCTGCTTGGTTCCTACTCTCTCACTTCTTCACTACTCCACAGGTGTCCACGAGTCACTGACTTGCCAGGTTTTTGGATATATCATCTCAGTTCTAAAAAGTGTTTCTATGGCATGTCTCGCTTGCATCAGTGTGGATCGCTATCTTGCAATCACCAAGCCTCTTTCCTACAATCAACTGGTCACCCCTTGTCGCCTGAGAACGTGCATTATTTTGATTTGGATCTATTCCTGCCTAATTTTTTTGCCTTCCTTTTTTGGCTGGGGGAAACCTGGTTACCATGGTGACATTTTTGAATGGTGTGCCACCTCTTGGCTCACGAGTGCCTATTTTACTGGGTTTATTGTTTGTTTACTTTATGCTCCTGCTGCCTTTGTTGTCTGCTTCACTTACTTTCACATTTTCAGAATTTGCCGGCAGCACACCAAAGAGATAAATGACCGAAGGGCCCGATTCCCTAGCCATGAAGTAGAGGCTTCCAGAGAGACAGGACACAGCCCTGACCGACGCTATGCCATGGTTTTATTTAGAATAACCAGTGTATTTTATATGCTGTGGCTCCCCTATATTATTTACTTTCTTCTAGAAAGCTCCCGAGTCTTGGACAATCCAACACTGTCCTTCTTAACAACCTGGCTGGCTATAAGTAATAGCTTTTGTAACTGTGTGATATACAGCCTCTCCAACAGTGTTTTCCGGCTAGGCCTCCGAAGACTTTCTGAGACAATGTGCACATCTTGTATATGTGTGAAAGATCAGGAAGCACGAGACCCCAAACCTAGGAAACGGGCGAATTCCTGCTCCATTTGAAGACACTTAGACAGTAAATCAAATGTAATCTGACAGTGGGTTTGGATTATATTCTTGATTCATCTGGAAGGTTGCCACCAGAGAAATATTTACTTGAATAGTTCACTGTAAAATGAAGGATGACACTAAAGATCTCTCCCTCCTTCCTTCTCTTCTTTTTTCTACCTTTTTCGTGGAGAAGACTAAAGGAAAGGATGTATACAGGGTAATCTCGTGAGGGAATTAGTGTATGAATGTACATGTGCAGTAATAAGAAAAATTCAGTACTGAGGATGAGAAAAGTACCTCAAGTCTCCTGTAAGACATAAGCAAGTCCCTTGGCACCTCTTTTTTACTGTCTGTATTTTCTGCCTCTGTCTTTGTCTTTCATTTTGTTTCCTTCCATGTCTCTCACTCTTAGTGTTTGTGGAAATTATTAGTATAAATTGTCCTTTACAGAACAATGCTACATATGATATATGTGGCCAGATACAACCTTTTGTATCCAAGTATACTTTTAAACATACGAATCTACAAACCATAAGTGATTTCTTCATGGAAGATGCACAGTAAGCATTATTTTTTTGGTTTATTATACAACCTTTTTGTTCATGGTTTTATAGTTTTACCGCAGCCCAAATTTTCTGCTGCAAACAAACAATCCCTGTTTTGTTTCTTCTGGGTAAATGACTTTTTCCTCTCACTTTCCTAACAGTCTATTTTTTTTTTCTTTGCTTTTTTTCTCCATCCAAATCATATCATACCTTACTCCTGAAGTGTCTTAGATAATGAAAGAAACTAATGTATAAAGCAATCATAATGTTAAATAATTTATTCCTTCCAATAAAGCAATGTAGTCACCTACTGGGGAGACTGGGTCAAATATTTTTAATGGGTTTCTGGAACAGTTTTATCTTGTTTCTTTGAAGTTAGTTCATGTGCCTAATATGTTGTCATTTTTTGCTGTAGTAGAGCTTTGTGTTTTTAAAGAAAACCCGCAAGTAATTCTAATTCACATATAGGATACTCAATAGTGGTGTATCACTCTTAATGCCACTTGGAATGTCCTTTTTAAAAAGTAAAACATTAACTTTTTGTGTAAGGTCTATAATTGCTTACTGTTGTATCCACTAGTCATTTGTGTAATATTCATTTGCACATACTATATTTTTAAAACAGAAAATGTAAAATTATATTATGTGATCTGTGCCTAATGTTTTCTTAGCACAATACAGAAGTCAATGTTGTTTAAGTTGTCAACATTGAGAAGAGTATATATAAGAACTTATTTTAAAAGGAAAATACTTTTGTGTAGTTGTTATTTAGATATTTATATTAGATGAAGGTGCGTTCTTAGTGCTGCTGAGATTATATAATATACTTAATTAAATTATCAAATACAGCTAAGAGCTATCAGTATTGTATTTTATAATGACCTGTTTTCAGATGTAGAGATTAATTTATTTTTTAGTGTGCTGAGATTATGTAATAAAGAGTCAGGGGTTTAGATACAGTAAAGTGGCATTAAAGGAATTAATAATGAAACAGGTGAAAGTAGTAGAACATCTATACCTTTCTTTTTTATTGTAAGTTGGAAATTTTATATAGCACTACTGAGTATTTCTCTTCTCAGCATTATAATTTCCTTGTTTTATGAAATGCATTTAATGAAATGTGCCTATGAGTCTTTAATTTAGAAGCCAACCATGTTTGCACACTGGTTTGACTTCAGAGATCATTTAGTAAGAATGTCATTTTATTGAGGTTGTTCTGAACCCCTGTGTATTTTTTAAACATGAGAAAAGTTTAAAATGAATAATAAAATAGTATTCTATTTATCAGAATTGCTTCAGCTTAATAAATGCAATGATCAAGAGTTTACTTCTTTGTGAATCAAAACCTAATTGTTTCATACTTCTCTCATAGGGGTTTATTTTCATTCTTGTTCCCTGTTTGCCAGTGGATCCTTGCATGAGTGGAAGTGAGCCTTTTAAATTCAAACCAGTTCAAGGAAAATAAGGTGTTCAAGGCAACACAGCAGTGCTAATTTTTCAGATATCATAAACAAAACCTTCAACATTACATATATTATTTTGGAATCAAATTTTGATTCCTTTAGTGTAGAGTTTAAATATAGTTTGAAGAGACTCTGAAGATGCTCAGGAAGCTTGAAGCCACACTGTTATGTTCTTTCCCTGCATTTTCTCATGATAATGAATAACAATTGTGTGCCAAGCTTAGTGTTGAATTTTACATGTATTACCACACCTCACCCTCACTACAGATGGTAGTATTGGTATCCATAGTCTGGAGATGAAGAAATGAAAGAAAGGTGATTTACCCAAGGCCACTCAACTAATCAGTGACAGAGGGTCCTGCACACTCAGTTGGCCTGGAGCCAACCCTGTACACTTAGCATTGTGCTGCCCTGCTTTTTTTGCAAATGCCGTCAGGCCTTTTCACTTCTGTCTGTACTTTCTTATACAATCTCTCTGAGTTTCACTTTTTTATATAACAAAAGGAATTCTACAGTTCTTTATTTGTGATATCTTTTTCTTTGATCTTGTAAGTTTCTTTTATTAAAACAGCAATCCGAGAAGCTCAAACCTACCAGTTTAGTCTTTAATCAAACTGAAACTCTAGGGCATGGTATCTCCTTGATATTATTTTTTTTCATTTTTGTTAAGTTTTCCTGGAATAGTTTTTCAAATCTCTCTGAATTTCTTTCTGAAAAAGTCTTTTGAAGGCGAAGAATGGAAAAGAAAGGCTCTATTGCACTGAATAGAGATTGAGTCAGGCAATTTCTGCTTTAGGTTCTTTGCTTCCTGCAGCGGTTTATGTGCAACTCTTGTGCAGGCAGCTGCTTTCCTTTGACATTTTTCTGTGTTTACATAATAAAGTAATGCTTATTTTGAAAGTACTCTCTTGTTTAGATTAATATGTTTTAAAAATAGGTAACATAACTGGTTTTGCTGTCATTCTATTGTATTCTGTAGTAGCTGTCCAGTTTGGTTATAAGTGATAGTAAAAAATAACTGCTGTGTTCCATCACTTAAGGAATCTTTGATTTCTGTAGTTGTTTCTAAAGTTATGCAGTATTCTAAAGGCTTTATAACTTCCTAGTTATATGAAGCCTGGGCTGAAATCTTGGCCCTCATAAGCTGCTTGGCCTTAGGTAAGACACTGAATGTTCCAAAACATCAGTTTTCTTATTGATATATAGAGTCAGAGACTTGTTCTTCCCTGTTCAGATGGATTTGAAGACTAAATGAGATTTTGTAGCCTGTGTGCTCAGCACAACTCCTTGTGCACAGAAAGTGTTCAGAATGTGGTAGCTGCTTTTATATCTTTGTGGGTGCCGTATTTATTAGTCATAACTTAAAGATCACTAATATCAACTTAACAGAATTAATTCATTGATGGTTTATGTTTTCTAAAATGCCATTTTTTCCACTTTCAAATTTGTTAAACCCAAGTGTTTTTAAAATATAGAAAAGTTCCATAATTTCTGAAACTCATTTCCCTTTGATTTTAGAAATTTTCACTCTATTTATTTTCTGCTGAAGTGTAAATAAGGTTGATGAAAGTTCAAAAATGCTAAAACATGCTTTGTAAATTCAGGGTGGTAGCATTACCTTAATTGTGAAGCACAGAAATCCACCTTTTAGTTTCTTCTCTAAAATTTAGGTTGTATTTTTGAAGCAAATGCAGTGCTAGCCAGAGCTAAACAATGCATATGCCTTGGTGTAAAGATATGTTTATATATATACTCTATATAAATGGCAATCTGAAAACTTTATATGTTCCTAGTAGAGTTTAAAATTTAAAATAGGTATTACCAGATCACACATTTTATGCTACTAGCCACGCTTTTTCCATTTACTCTTCCAGGAACTTTATAATTAAGTATGCTAAATTGGTAAAATTGATACTATAAGTGATAAATTTGTAGAAGATTAAAATATAATTTGGTAAGGAACAGGTAGAAAAATCGCATTTTCAATATGAATTATATTTGGCTTTTAAAATTTTATTTTGGCAAAGAAAATGATTCAAAATTCTACTTAGAACCAGGGATGGTGGTGCATGCCTGTGATGCCAGCACTTGGGAGGCTGAGGCTGAAGGATTGCTGTGAGTTCAAGGCCAGCCTGTACTTTATAGTGAGACCTTGTCTCAAAAAACCCAACCCTCCCAAACAAAATTGTACATAGAATTGTTAAAGTAACCAGTTTTGAAATGAGTATAATTTCTTTTATGTAAGCAAATAACTTCAGTATAATTTGTATCATGGTTTTTGTAAAGTGTTCTTACTGTTATTTTAAAATCTAATTTATATAGTAATCAAAAAGAATAAAAAGATACATACTCATCTTTTTGCTTTTTTAGAATAGATTTTGAAGAAAAACTTAATATTGTCCAAATTTATCTCACTCCCTACTTATGTTGTCCTAAGGGAATTAAAAAAAAAACTTAGGAATTATCTGAAATCTCTACTGAATTTTTAGGTATATTTATTTGGAAATGAATCAGGAAAAATAAATTTTGGAAATTTATATTAGAATGTGATATTACCAAGTGGTTTTTGATAGCTTCTGTTATTTTAATTATAAACTTCACATCTAGCCCTACTTTCTCTGTTTTTAAAATGAGATTTAATAATTATATTTGGACAAACCATTAACATTTATTAGAGGACTTTAACTTGATTTACTTTTATAGTTTTGGAATCAAGGGGTGACACAGCAAGTAAATTTGTGTGCATCTATGGGGGTGTTTGTTTGAATGCTTCACTTGTACTCAAATTACAGACTTTGATTGCATTCTCAATTGTAGTCATTGCTGGGGTTTAATTACTTTTCATCTGACTTAAAGTTATTAATTTTTAAAGAAAACATATTAGTAGATAAATTACTGGAATTACAAAAGAGGAATCAATGTTTAGGTCTTTACCTGTATGCCAGAAATTTTTCTAATGCCCAGAATTATTACATATTGCAAACATATACTAGATAAATGGATGGATGGATGGATGGATGGATAAATAGATAGATAGATAGATGAAAATATGTTAGATTTCAAAGTGCCATTCTTGGGAGGAGTTTCCCATGATGTTTTGGAATCATAATAGAGAATATTTAAGTGATTCACTGTATGATGTGAAAAATGGAATAAGGAGTAATAGAATGTTGTGCTTTTATAATTGCTAAAGGATTTTTTAAAGAAGGAGTGATTATTGATTTTAGCCTGATTGATCTAGACATCAGGAAGATTTTTGTCATATAGAGAAAAAATTCCTATGACTCCAGCAGTATGTCAACTGAATTCTGTCAATGAAACACAGATCTGCTCTTTTTAAGTAGTTTTTAACCTCTATATAGTTAGTTGATCCTACATACTTACACTTAGCTCCTTTTTTATTTGGGTGAAATTCTTTGCATGTAAAATTTGTTATCTTTATTCAACTAATATGTTTTTCTTTACTTTTAAATTTGGAGTCAATAATAACTTTGGATGTAATTGTCAAACATTAGGATTTGCTAAACTTCTTGTCAGTAAACGAGTTGATTGACTTATAAAACAGAAAGCATCTGTTGCAGTATTCCAAGAAGCAGTAAAACAGAAACCTATAAGAACTGAAGATCTAGTAGTATTGAGTCAAATATGTATGTAGTTCTAAAGTGTATATGACTTAGAAGATTTCATAATTTGACATTGATGTATATGACATTATCTTGGTAATTTGTAAGTTAGAATATGAATAGATGTAGTCATATTCTTGGCTAAGATTTGTGAAAGCAGTAAGAGTTTTATGTTTTGATGTTGGCAACTAATACATGAGAATATAAAGCGGTTTCAAATGAGTCAAAATTGATTTTTACCCCAAATTAAACAGTTTGTTTTGTTTTTGTCTTTTTGAGACAGGGTTTTACTATGCAATTCAGGCTGGCCTTGAACTCACTTTGTAGCTCAAGCTGTGAGGATCACTCACAGTGATCCTCCTGCCTCAACTTCTCTAGTGCTGGGATTACAGGTGTGCACCATCATGTCTGGCCCAAATTAAACAGTTTAAAAAACCTTGATGACTCACTTAATCTCAAGTATTGAATACATTATATACTCATTATTGAATTGGTGAGTACTATTTTTTTTTTTTTTTGGTACCGAAAACCAAACTCACAACCTCACGCTTGCCAGGCAGGTGCTGTGCCACTGAGCTATATCCCTGGCTCCTGGTGAATACTATCATTTTAAACTAATCCATCAGAAAATTCTTCCTTCAAATTTAGTAAATGGGTGAGAAAATGAATAAATGATCTTGACATTTATCTTGACCGTACACTTCAATATTTCATTGGAATAAAATCAAACAGTTAATATGTGTTTTTATTCACTAAGTACTGTTCAAAAGCACTGATGTAGTAGAGCCATCATTTGAACCCACATAGTACCTTAATAATTTTTTGATCATCTGTTTTTCTAAAAAAATGAATAGCATAATGTCAGGTAAAATGGTATATTACAAGATACTAAGTGATGATATTTCCATTAGTTTGATTTTTACATGAAAGATTTCAAAGATGCATTAGGACCCCCTGTCCTTTTCAGAACAGTCTCTGGAGGGATTTAAGAGAAGACCAGAGGGATTTCTTGTAGAGATCATTTGAGTGGAAAAATAGTGTCTTCCCTGTATATACCCACCAACTTCCCTTTTCCTGTTTCATACCTTCTAATTTCTGACTATTCTTAAAAGAATTAATTGTAGCTAATTCTCTAAATTTGTTTCTAAATTCTACCTCTCTTAATTCCTGCTTTATATAACTAACATCATCATTTTCTTCTTCAATCATGATTCTTTTT